CTTCAGCTGCAGGGTACAGTTGGCACTGGCTGGGAAGGCGCTCTGCTCTTTGCCCTTGTGTGCCTTCTGTGCCAGGAACCCAGCTCCTATCCACCTCCAACCCTGCCTCCACGTGGAATTGTTCCACTGGCCAGCTCCCAGAGAGCGCCTTCATTCTACTCATGCTTAATCAGGTACTTGAGACAGCACATGACTCATGTCAGACTCGGCCAAGACCAACAGCATCGGGCTCCTATTGTTCGAGAGCTGACTCCAAGTTCACTGAGTGATTTCAATGAGCAGAACCCTTGTTGCCTGCATGGCAGCTCTAAAGTCATGGAAAGAAATGACCACACTGGAGCCATAGAAAGCCAAGGCAGAGTAGCACAACCTCCTTCCTTCAACTCTTCAACCCTTCCTTCAACTCTGTATTTCTGTGGTTTCTCCAGAGAAATAGACATGGCCACCAGGTTGAATTTGCTACAAGGGATTGATGCAGAGTTTATCATAGACATGTTGAGTTCCAAGAGCAAAGACGAGCAGTCTCACTCCAAGGACTAGTAGGGGCTTGAGGATGAATTTTATCATTTATTCAAGGCTCTGCTGCTAATATGAACAGTAGTTTAGGGCAAGCCTCAGAACTTCCATCTGGGGAGAAAAACAGCCCGTATCTCACAACAGAAATCAAATGGGTTGTCCTAAGACCCAAACCAAGGAAAAATGCCAATAAGGGATCATTAAAAGTTTGATGAATTGATACTCTCCCAGCAGTGCAAATGATGCTTTAACACCTGAAACCTTGTCAGTTCTCTCACTCAAGGGTGAGATCAAATTGCTTCCTCTCTTTAAGGGAACATCCTGTTCGCACACTGCTAAGTGCGAGAAGCAAAGTGCTCTTGCATTGCTGGCATGGTAACTTCTGTGTAAGAAAAAATAAACTTGTATTTGTTTATTTGTGTACAAACATAGGGAGGATCAAGCAGGAATTGGTGAGTTTGGTGACCACAGTTTGGGGGGTTGGTGAACACTGGGGAAAGGATAGTGGAATGGTATGTGGGAAAAGAGAGGAGGTATGTGGGAAATGTGGGAAAAGTGATGCTGCTTTGAGTCTAGCTTTTCAAATCGTTTTGCCTTTGAGTGTCATGTTATGTGTTGCATATTCAAAATAAATACAACCAACAAAGCTGTGGGGAAGGGAAGAGAAAAATCCGTTTTTCCTTTAAGAAAACTGAACTTTTTCTACAGCACCGTGGTGGTGGGAATGGTTAATAAATAAAGGATATAAATAAGGGGTTCAGTTCTTAAAAATCTTTCTGACTTTCTAAGGACTCTACTATGAACTCTGAAGTTGAACCACACAGTTTAGAAAAAGGGGTAAAGGCTTTCTCGTTTCTGGGGGTCTGTGAGACGAGACTAGACATGCAAGTGTCTGTATGATCACAGGAAAGGGGCAGCAGACAGAATATCCTCTCAGGTTGGAGGGAAGTCATCAGGGCTGGATCCAGACACATGGTTACACAGGTGAATCTTATGTTTTTGTTTCCTGCCTTCTGGTCCCTCCTTACACCTCCATATTCAATTCCCTCAACTCGCCTCCAAACCTGATATCCCCTGAGAATGCAGTAAGGCAGTGTCTGAAGAATAACCCTTAAGTCCATTACTGTCCATAAAAGTCTTGACAATCTAAGCACATGTGGTGTCCAGGACAGTGTTTTAAGGAAAAAGTTGTGATCACTTCTGGTAACGGACCTGGAAAGATTTGAATCCAGCAGTTAGAACATATGATCAGTGTATGTTCAAATTCCCACTGGGATAGTTCAATATCATATTAGCCTGTTGGCATGCAGAAAAGTCTCGAGCAAACTAGACTTTGTTTCCCCAGCCCCATAAACTTGGATTGCAGTCAAGTCCTGGGAGGAGGATTCAGATCAGAAAAGACTGAGTATCCAGGATCTGGTAGGGATCCAAATTGTCATAGACACCCCAACCCCAGTTTCTCCTAAACCAACGATGTAATTTTTGGGTTAATTTAGACTTGTTTCCTGGGACCCTGGAACCCATCAGGACACTTCCTGACCACTTTTTCAGGATGTACTTGCTCCTCCTTGGGACACCTCTTACACAGAAGCTGCCCTTTTGCCTGTATTAATTAGCACTGGAAAAGAGGAAGAAGATTTGTCAAGTCATTCACCCCATGGCACTTATCCCACACATTCTAGCTTTTTTTTTTTTTGTAGCAATGACATCAGTTAGGTTAAATTTTGGTTTCTAATGAATCAATTCCATTCACATCACCCTCTGTTAAAAATGGCACGTGGATTTTTCCACTACAAATATACTACTTTTAGTGAGATTTGGTAAGTTTGTCTTTAGATCTTCAAATATTTTTAGATATTCAGCAGAGCAGGAAAGGGCTGCTTCATTTATTGGTTATGTATTTAAAGAACAAATTTTGGAAAACTCATTAAAGTAACATGTCTCTTCCCTTTTCAAAGTTTTCATGATTATTTTGTGTACATGCATACATCTTAAGAGGTTTCTCCAGCCCTAAGTGCTTGAAAACCAGGAAGTGTTATATAAAGTGGTAAATACAGCTCCCCAGAGCCCAGTCTTTTTAGATCTGAGTCATATGTTATGATAAATAGATAATCCCTGAAGTGCCTATCTGGCTTCTGGCAGGGCTAGAATAATTTAGATGTGAGGCTTCATAATGCCTACATTAAAAAGAAAAAAATTAGAAGAAGAAAAAAGATTCCACATCTTGGCATGAAAATGGGAAAAGCCCATTAGCAACAAAAATTGCATATGTGGAAAAGATATGGAGGCGACTTGGACACAGAGCTGGAGAGAAGAAAAACTGGAGATTTAAATACCAGCAGTTGGGTTTAAAGCCAAGAAAAAGGGGAGATAAACACACAGATAGCAGGAGTATCAAACAGACAGACGCTCTGCGACTGTCCTCATACAAAGGTCCCTGATTATCTCTGAACCTCAAGCCTGAAAAACAAACTATTGTTTCTGGGCAAACTATTATTTCTTTCTAGGCTTTCTGTGAGATAAAGCTGAGCATCCTAGATACATATATATGTTTTAAAATTAATTATTCATATTAATATTACAATATATGTTATATATTATATATAATTTTGTAGAATATATACATATTCAGTTGGGGGTCTTACTGTCACCCAGGCTGGAGTGCAGTGGTGTGATCATAGCTCACTCCAGCCTCAAACTCCTAGGCTCAAGAGAGTCTCCTGCTCCAGTCTCTTGAAAAAACTAGGACTATTCTCCTGCTTTAGTCTCCCTAATAGCTGGGACTTCAGGGTTCATTCTTAATTTTTGGTAGAGACAGGGTCTTGCTATGTTGCCCAGGTTGGTCTCGAACTCCTAGCCTCAAGTGAGTTTGAGGCTTCCCAAAGTTGCAGTTATAGGTGTGAGCCACCGTGCCCAGCTCCCAGGTATATTTTGAGGTCACAAAAAACTTGTTACATAGGAACTCTGAATTTAGTGTGACTGAAGTTTTCTGAACCTCAAAAGACTAATCATTTGTGGAAAATGGCAACCCATGGAGGTGAATAAGTGGTAATTACTCCTGAGAAGTGCCTTAATGGAACTAAGCTTGAATATTTCATATTTATATTTCACCAATGGCATTTATAAGAAATTGCTCTGTTTTATTGTAGGATTTTTTTTTTTCCTTTGTAAACTGCTACTGGAGCATTATTCAACGTCACCAAAGAATCCTTGACACATTTCCTTCAGAACCAAGCCCTGGGCAAAGGTTCCTCCCAATGATCTGAACTGTTTCCTAAAATTATACACAAAATAGTTCTGCAACCAGTTATTATTTTTTTCTAGTTGGTGGGCAGCTCTGAAGTAAGTTTAATGTTTAATTGCTCCCATTCCTGTCAATCAGGATCTATTGCCATCATTTGTTCCTTTTCCCCCTTTGCTTTTTGGTTCATTTTGGTTCTTACAATTGTTTATACAGCCTCATTATTTTTTTCTGAAGTCAGTGGCATATAAAAAAGGTGCTATTAATTCAAGGATTAAAAATGTGTCCCCTGAGATGTGTGTTTTCTAATGGCATTGCATTTCCCTGGCAGAATATTCGTTCCTCCCTCTCAATTGTCTATTTATTTGAAGTGAAAAACGACAAGAAAGCAAAAGAGAAAAAATCGAGTGCAGAAGTTTGCCTGGAAAATTCCAAGAAACAAAGAACTGACAAAAGAATGTCCTCTGAAACAGATAGGTCCTAGGGAGAATTGTGATTTCCATGTTCAAAGACTCTCTTTCTTTTGTACAAACATAATTGGGAGCTGGTTTTAGTCCGTTCTTTCCTCAACGCTCGAGCAACAATGGAAATTACAAATGTGTCCCAGGCACTGTCTTCACCACTGATGCATGGAACTGTGAAGGTGTTTACATGTAGTCAGAGGCTGGAAGGTAGGACCTGCAAAAGGAGTGAAATTAATATGCAGAAGGGCATCTGGGAGAGCTCACCATCCTGGTTGCTAACTGCATTCCCAGATTTCTAGGACATCTATTAAGATCTTTGCATTTGCTTTAAGTTGTCTGTAGTTATTAACAAGGTTTTAGACATTAATTAGCTCACTAGCTGGAAGATGACCTGCTTGGTAGAAATACAAAGGTCTGGGGGCTATTTCTTTTCAATGGTAATTTTTGGCTTTTGTGTGTGGGTGTCTAGTTTGTATGTGTGTCATATTTCTCTTTGTGCACTTTTAAAGGCACTGGAACAGATACTGACCAGACAGCAGGTGCCAGTAAATGTGTTAAGTGAGTTTTTAGAAAAAGAAATCTGAAGGGGTTTGGAACAGCCAAGAGTACTGATCTGGGAGTTGGAACACCCAAGTTCTATTTGTGAACTGCCATTATCTAGTATAGTAGGAACAGTGGGCTGTTTGCCACCTGGCATCCCGTTCACACTCCAGCCCTGGGAGGCTGATCCTTCAGACGGCATCACACAAGCTCCTTTTGCTGTCTGGCATCCATTAGCGTCAAGGTGACTGTGGGAAACTGAGAGAGCCACCTCTGGCTGAAGAGACCTCAGTGCAGGTACCTCCTGTAGGTTCTGAACCTAGCTTCTGCCTCATTAGCCCTCGTTCGCTTAAACCTGCCCACACCTCGCTAAGTGGTCCCCTTAGGTGTTTTTCATTTGAACCATCTGGGATGGATTCTGTTTCAGCCAGGTCTCTGTTCCATACAAATGGAGACCTGCTTTGGCAAACAGGAAATGAGTTTGGAGTGGTGGAGTTGTATTCCAAACCACTGGGATCACGTCAGCCACGTTTGGAGTCTTTCCAGAAGGTGGCTAGGTGGGAAGAGAACCAGAGAAGATGAATTCGCACCCACATGGCTGAGCCTTTGTGGACTTCTGCTCTAACTCATGAGAAGACCAAGAACATGGCAAGTGCGCCCAGCCACCATTGCAGAGGTTTATATTCAGTTTCACCCAGCAGACATTAAGGTACTCAGGCACTTGAGGATAAAGAACCTTTGCTCGTGACCCAACCAAAAAAATTTTTTTTACTAAAGTTTTTTTGTTGTTGTTGTTTGTTTTTAAATAACAATTTGACAAAAGGGTGAAGAGATCCCATAGCCGGGCAGGGAGATCAGAGTCCAGGCTTCACTCTGTTGGCACAACTGCCCTCGGGACCTTGGGAGCTAGAAAAGTACACAATTACAGGAGAAACCGGAAAGGACATGGTGGGGGCCG